AGTAAAAAAATTGCTCAATTTTATGAACAAATGAAGTACAAAATCAGACCATTATAAATCTACTTGTTTATTAAACTTAGTGTTTTTTTTTTCTCCTTTTTAGTTATATGTCTTAGGAATTAGATAAAATTATTAATTTCATTGGTAGTTGTACTCCTAATTTGATCACATTTTTTTCACCACTTAACTAAGTAGCTAGAAAACTCTTTTGTTTTTTCCCGACTCAATCTATAATAGTATATTCTTTAATTTTGAAGAAAGTAAATCATATATAGCAATAACATCATCAACATTGATACTTCACTTAATACACCAGCGAATAATAAAAATAATAATTATGACTCATATATAATGGAGTCTTCTAACTCTAACTGGCCAGTCCTATACTTATCCTGCTAAAGACTTGCCTTTATTTAGTTCCTGTCTCATCTAAAACTAGCCAGAACATATAATATTTGAGTATTTTAAAAGACCACTTATAGTTGAAACCTAATTAACCAAATCCCAGACTCGCATAGAATTAAACTCCTGAGTCTTGACACAATAACATAGTAGTTTGGCCCAAATAAAAACAAAACCCTCAATCACCCTAATGGAATCACCAAACAATTTCGGAATTAATTCTTCTTTGACATTAATCAATACTTAGTCAAACATGGATTTAGGACTATCTAGGTCTTGAGAACCCTTCTAGCATTCATAGTCTTTATTGGACCCACTAGTATTCAATATCGCAAGTTAGCCCAACCCTAGGGTGGACAAAATTCAAATCTAGCTAGGCCCCCTATTTTACCTAAGTTTAACCTTAGTCAACCTTATACCTAAAAGCTATATCCCTTTGAACTAATTTATATTATCCTAGAGGAATAGCCTAACCTTAGAATATGGTTCCCAAAGTCCTACTTAACCCCCAGAGGAGGACCTAGCCTAAGTCCGAATTAGTTTGACCTAGTAAAATCTTAAAAATCCTACGCTAGATAATACATAAGAACTTGAATATTCATAACTTAAAGTTTTTAGGTATTATCCAATGTAGAGATTTTTAAGTTCTCAAATATTATCCATTATAATCTCTTAATAGGATTCAATCGAGAAATAAGATTCATGTAGCCTATCCCACGGTAGGATAAAGGCTTCTTCTTTCCCTTTTCTCCTTATCCTCACCACTCTTTCTCATTAGGAATAAAAAGAAATTGAGATGAGAAGATTCAGATTTGTAAATTGAACTTTTTATTTAAATGATTTTTTAATTATTTTAAATAAAATGAAGACTAAATTTAACTGCAAAGAACATGAGAAGATGCTCCTGCAAAGGCGGCCACTGCGATAGAATCGCAAATAACCAGGATGCGACCATCACCGTCGCCATCGCGTCATAGCCCCCCCCCCCCAGATTTCAAAGTTCTTTTTTTTTTTTCATTTTCTTATTAGAGGTGAGACACAAACTTAAGGGCCTATTTGAGATAGTTTTTAGGTTGTTTTATTTTTCAAACATCAATTCTAATTTTATTTTAGCTATTACTTTTTGACTATTTTCACAGCTTTTCAAAATTTTTCATGACAAAAAAAAATATATTTTTTCACAATCAATTTTATTAAGTGCTAATAGATCTCTAAATAGATTCTAAGTTCTGAAAATTCAACGGTAATGCCATCTTAATTATTGCTCCATTATTATTATTATTTATTCAGAAAAAAAATTATATTAGAAATTTTGATGAATTTTAATATTATTTAATTTATTTTAACATTAGTGATGATATAAATAATTTATATTATATTAATTTAAAAATATTTAATAAATTTAAGCCCATTCTTATTATGGATATTCTCACATAATTTTCTTTCTATTTATTCGCTTCGACCTGTTCTCTCATGGAGAAACCCCCCCACATCACGCCGCCATTGACGAACTGTCGGAGACATTTGATGGGGACAAACGGGAAGCCATTTTTCCTTCAGAAGTTTTGACTTAGCAAATCGAGATATACAGAAAGACGAGCAGTTAAGCAGATTTGGCTTCACATGGGATAAGGTGATGAGTCCTCGATAGGGTTCTCTGCACGTCCTTTCGCCACGGCGACGAGTGTGGTGGAGGAGCCGCGCCGCGCTTCCGCCCATTGTTCTTGTTCCGTCGGCCTGATCCGACGCAAATCTGTGAGCTGGAAGCATGAAAAAATGAGAAGTTAACCAGAGATTTGTAGAACACGACTTCAAACTTTTTCTTAGGAAAATAAATGTGTGATAATTAGTGATACAGGAGGAAGGAGAAGAAGAATGGAGTTTACTGGTTTTAACTTTTAAGAGGACAAGGGAGGGACTGGTACGTTCAATAGTCCTTATTTTTAGAGATTTTATAGAGTAATTGCAATGCAAGTAAACAGTTGGAAGTATGAGCTGGTGATCATGCACGAGTATTGCCTTCAAGAGGAGTGCCGTAGTTTCGGTCTAAATTAATCTCTAGCACGAGAAATTATTCTGTGCGGACATCAAACAGAGAGAATCGTCCGAATTTGCTGCGTTTTTATTGTCATTTGTTGTGCTTTTGCAAATACTCAGTAAAAATGCAACAAATTTCATGTAGAAAATGATGCTCTTTTTATAGTTTTCTACTATTGGCATTTTAGTACATTGGGCCGAAATCCAAAACATTCCATCAAATACTCCTTCATATTAATCCCCTTTGATTACAGATCATATATCTATCATTTGAGTGCTTTAGTGATATAATAATTAATTGTTCTTAGATTTGTGACATTCATCTCGACAAGCCGGTTGATTTGATTATAAACATTCAAACTTTGGAGAGTATTTGATCCTTCAGTCAATGTTCCTAAGTTTTCAATCATGTTTCAAGTGTTTGATTTTGGTTATATTTGGACTCAAATTGGACAATTTATAGTGCTGTTAGGTTTCTCTAATTGAGATGTTTATTTCAACTATAAATTTGTTGAAATTAGAGTACAAGTATTGGTCCTAAATTTAATTCAAAAAAATTTTGATTTAAATTTTACATTGAGATACATACCGAACAAGTAAATTTTCTGAAAACATATCAAGACTAGAACTCAAGGTCAAATTGGAACAAGTGGCAGGATCAGTAAATGCTAGCCACAACCCCCAATTTTGACATTAGTACACATATATTGCCAGTTAGGATGGTTAATATAGAATTCTGCTGCTTGGCTACTCTATTCTTATTTAGAAATAACACATATATATATATGCACATATAGCAGTGATAAAGTAGCTTTAGAGAATATCAATACTTCAACATATAATTCATTTGCTCGACAAACAACATATATAACATAAACATTAATGTTGCAGATTAATATTGTGCCACAATTGTATAGGCAGAAGCTATAAAGGGTCGATCGAGAGAGATTATTACACGCGGAGTCAGGACTCAGAGGATCATTCAGTTTTGTGACTATGAACCAAAAAAGCACAGTTACTATTCACCATTGTACTTTTATTGTTCATAGTCACAAAATCGAACTGTTCTCTGGGTCCGAACTCCGCACGTAATAATCTCTCGTCAATCAAAGGAAACATTTATGAATTTGGAGGTTGTTCGAAGGACAAAAGTTCCTATATATCCATCCACTTCACAAAGATTAGAAAAGAGTTAATATCTAGAGCAATTGGATTCACGACAAGAGAACAAGGAGATTGTGAGGCCTATTTTTTTTTTTTTTAAGGGAAATCCACGGAATGACCTACGCGTTAATTTAAATCAAAATTACATAGTCCTTAAGGAGACATTTAGCTTACTAATGCTCAAAGAGCAATTAAAGAAAGAAAACTTAAGAGTCGATTGTCCCTTGCTAACCAAAATACAAAATTGTCTAGATACAATCTAAGGCGGCACAAAGACAGCGCCCAAAAAAGAAAGATCCAAAAAAAATCAATCAGCATAATCTTTTTGCCAAAAAACACCCTCTAGGCCAGATAAAACCTGCAAAGAAGCAGCAAACCAATCCAAAAGAAAAAAAACTACAAAGAGAAGGCAAATACCTGTATGAGTAAAGGTAAGCTCAGCATTGATCGACCAAATCAGGATAGGTAATAAACCAAAGTAGGTGTAAACAGAAATGCCCCTAAAAATTTGATGTATATCATACTCAAAGTGATAGAGGCACCCAACAAGAAACAATCCAAAATATTAGCAGCCCACATATAAAAAATATGAACAAGTAAACCCCAGGAAACCACACCCAGCAGTATAACATTAAAGTCCTGGGCCACCCTGAAAATGGAAAACCAAACTAGCAAGCACAAGACAAAACAAAACAACCAGCAGAAAGATGATCCAACACAAAATACTGCAGCTAGCCTTCAACAACTGAACCCTGTAATTAAACCCGGCATTCGAGAAACAAAAAAATGAAAGAAAAACCCCATAAATTACCCAACAACACAACCAGAGAAAAACAAGATAGCCAAAAACCAGCTATCAGGAGAGCGACTAGCTACCCGAAGTGATAAACACCAAGGAAATAACAAAAAACATAGCAAGCAACCAAAGAACCGACATAACAAAGAGAACGACCATCAACCAATCCTAATATAAGGTAATCCAAGTTTTTCCAACTTGTGAGGCCTATGTTGAAAGAGTACTTAGTGGTAACAATTTACTTTGGGTGATGCACATGAAAATGATGATGGAAGCCAGGATGACAATGAAGGATATGATGATGATGATGATGATGATGTGAAGTATGACATATAGTTATTATTATTATTATTATTATTTCTACTGCAGAAAAATTGTTATAACTACTGAGTATATCAAATTCTTCTAAAACTATTACTTATATTGTTTGTATGTCTATATTTTGAATTTGCAGCTTATTCAAAATGCAGCATTCGATGGTTGTTTTGAGTAAAGGTTTTTTTTTTTTTTTTTGGTGTTCTCTCTCTCTCTCTCTCATTTAGCAATATTTGAATAATTTAATTTTAAATAAATAAGTTTCTTGAAGTATTATTATTAGGCATGAGAAAGTATCTATCTTATTCGCTTTCATCCATCCATGCGTTCTGTTTAGTAATTCAGATAAAAATACGATGGATCAAAACAAAAAAAAATGAATTTTTTTTGAACAGATATTATGAGATCCAGATCTGTAAATTTTAGAATGAAAAAACGAAAAAAAAAGACAATTTTTGATCAAGAAAGTAATAATCGTCTCTGGCTTTTCCAGTGGCGGCGGCAGGGTAATCTCAAATCAGCTTGTGCTGCCGCACCACGACGCGGCAGCGGCCGTCGATTCCTCCGCCTCAATTCCACACGGCTTAGCGTCTTCACCTCCCCTCCACTGCCGTTCCAGAAATCCTCGCCGGAATACGACGGAACATTCCGGGAGCTCTCCCAACCCAGCAAATAACGCGTCTTCCTCCTCATCCACCAGAAAGTAATAATTGTCTCTGGGCCTCTGGCTTTTCCAGTGGCGGCGGCAGCGTAATCTCAAATCAGCTTGTGCTACCGCACCACGACGCGGCAGCGGCCGTCGATTCCTCCGCCTCAATTCCACACGGCTTAGCGTCTTCACCTCCCCTCCACTGCCGTTCCAGAAATCCTCGCCGGAATACGACGGAACATTCCGGGAGCTCTCCCAACCCAGCAAATAACGCGTCTTCCTCCTCATCCACCGCTGTGCCGCTTAATTTATCACAGTCATCAAATCCAAAAATAGGATTACAGAAAAACTCCGCATCGGAGGCTGCCGCCGGCGAGTTAGACGACGGCGAACTGACTTGCGCGAACCATCCGAACGCATCAGGAATCATAAGCCCTGCCGATTCTTCCACCATCAGATCCGTCAATTTCTCGTCTTGATCCGTCGCCAGGCTATTATCTGAAGATACAGGATTATTCTCCACGTCCACGGGCTTTGAACAATTGGATTCTGGAAGAGTAGCAGCTCCGGTGGCTGCCGCCGGGGAATTCTGCTGGTGGCGCTGATTTTTAGACATTGCCGGCCAGCTATGGTCATGATCCGAGGAGTAAGTGACGATAAACGTGGTGGGGTCCATACGGCTCCTTTCCACCTGCTTCCTCGCAGGGCATCCCTTCGAGCTGCTACATCTATAATAACCCCTGCATTATTAAAATTTTTTTGGATCAGAATATTTGATTAATTTACCCCAAAAAATATATATTTGATTAAATTTATATTATATTTATTTTAAAATAAATACGATGATTATAAAATTAGTCATGATCAAATTTGCCATAAACTGTTTTTTAGCCAAAGATTTATTAGTATTATTACTCATCAACCTTAAATACTAATAAATGTTTTGTTGTAACCTCGATTTAGCAAGTAAGCTGACCTGGGATAAGGCGATCCTTTGATAGGCTTCTGTCCATACTTGCGCCAAGCCCAAGAATCCGACGGCGGCGCAGCCTCGCCGGCGCCGCCTCCCTTCGATCTCCCTCCATCAGCATCTACCATCGGAACCGACACCACGCGCTTCTGAACCGATCGCCGGCTAATCCAAATTAATTATTAAAACCGTGATGAATACGTAATTAAAATCTATAAACATATATAGATCAATCATTTTGTAATAAAGATCCAACCTTTTCTTTGTAGAAGGAGAGAGCAGCAGCAGCTGTGGCTCTTCTTTGGCTTCCATGAATAACGAATGAGGAGGAGAGGGAATGGGGGTGTGGAGCTTTTAATGGGGGTTGTTCATATCTATATATTAATTAGAGGTACAGTATTAGAGGAAATAAGGTGATCGATCATGTGCTTGATTATTTAAAACTGAATAAAAGATTAAGAAAAGAGTTTAATTAAGCTAAGAAGTTCGACTTTTTGTGCTATGGATAGAGACGTGGGGGCAAATATCCAGACTTTGGATGAGCTATTATTGTGAGGTGATGTTAAGAGGGAGGAAAACGGAGGGGAGGGCGACGGCTGAGGGCTCCACTTGCTTCCTTTACAATCCACTTGCATTATTATATGATGATTAATTGAAAATAAGATTATCTTAGGATGTGTTGATGGATTTTTTTTAATCATGTTTATTTTTTTTTATTTTTGGCATATGAAATTAATCATGTGTTATTTTTTTTATTTTTACATAATTAATTGTTTTTTTCAATATTATTATTATTTTAATTATTGTGAATACATATATATTTTTGATATATTGAGTGTCGTGATATGGCTGTTGGAGAATGAATTAATGTAATATAGTGAATGTAAATGGTGAAAAAAAGGCTTTCATGTAGGAGTAAGATGAGGTTTGAAGGGTTGGGGTTGTTAGCTAGAGGTGATTGGTGATTTGTTGGATTGTTCTTTTATAAGAGGCGAGACTAGGGAGCGAGAAATTGGGTGTCAAAGTTGGTGTTAGTAATTGTCGTCAATGTTGGTAGCAATGTTGAGTGTTGATGACGGATTACATCCTTAGTGGAAACATCAAATGGCAGCCTTAGTAATATGATGGGCATCATCGATCAATATTGGTTATGGAAAGCGCCGACATTGATGACGATGGAATGTGTTGGCATTTGTGATTATAGCTCATGTCAATGTTGACAGTGACAATGAGCGTTAATTAGTGTTATATATTAGCAAAGAAGAAGTCTATGATTTTGGTAATGGTAGGTGTCGGGATTGTTGGTGATTGCATATATTAGTGTTGTTAGGGGATGATGGAGTGATACTTTCGGGGATTGAATTCATATGTCATCCTTATTAAGGAATGATGGTGTAGGGATTATGGGCATTGACGTTGCTACTGGTGGCAGGTAACAAGGTTGGTGACACAATTGTGGGTGGTGGCCTTATTGGAGATGACACGAACATCAAATATGATGACAATAATGATCACAACCAATGTTAGTACTAACAACATGCATCCTCACTGATGGAGATGATAGATACTATTGTTACTAACGACAAACATCAACATTATCATAGATGATGAACATCACTATTGTTAAGGCTCGTCAAATTATTCTCTCTGAAACACTCATTTCAACTATATAAGGACACTAGAATTGGAGGTTACTTGATTATTCTAATGACATTGAGCTATTTCTAACCATACATTCGAGTATTTGATCTAAATAAAAAATGCTTAAGGCATCCTATAGGAGAAATTTATATTGTGCTCTTCTGAATGTAAGCCGAACAAATTTGAAATATATTCTAATCAAAATTCCCTCTGAATATTTTTACCCTTGATTTAGGTTTATTTGGATTCAAATAAATATATTCTTGGCATCTTTGAGTTTGTCTCATTGAGATACTTATTTTAGCCGCTTAACCATAGGTTTTCTAAACGAGGGACTTACATAATATATAGACCATACTATTCTTATGTATTTACATATCTAGCACCTAAAATTTAACAATTATTTATATATCACCTAATTATTCAAATTATATAAAAAAATACCACTAATAGGGTATTGATTCAAATCAGATCCAAATTTATTAATAATTCCTGCATTTGAAAGCTTATCTAATAACATAGATGTTCTCTTGCGACCTTTGATTGATAAGCTAAATCAGCTATGATATGGCGTTCTAACTTTTGATAAGCACATTAAGCAAAACTTTCATAAGAGAGCCATTGTATTGTGGAAAAGTATTAATTTTTCAGATTAATCAATGTTATTTGAATGGAGAATGCAAGAAAAATTAGCATAATGATCATACTCCATAGAACAAAGCAAAGAATTCGCATTGGTTAGTGGTAGCAAAGTTAGCTTCTTAGATTCTCTTCCATAGGTCTTGGAAAGTATTTAACTTTAGTTGATCTTTGCAAGTAAGGAAATGGAGCTAACTATGGAAGATTCATGTTGATCTATGCAAGCTTTTTATCCTTAGGGCTGTTTGGTATCACATTTACACTCAGATTTATGGGGGATTCAAGTTAAATTCCACCAAAGAATTTTCGAAGGCATCGTAAATCCGAATGTCGCATAAGTCCTGGATTTACGGATTATGTTGATCTACGCAAGCTTTTTACGATACCACAAACAACTCCTTAAGATTATAAGAAAATAATTATAAGACTAAAAAAAGATGTTATTATAAAGGAGTTAACATGTTCCGAGATGGAGTGGAGAAAACTTGAGGATGACTCCTTTGATATGGAGCTTTTCTTTTATAGAAGTCATTGTCTAATAATCATGTCACTTACACTTAATTAATAAGTTATTTACTTAAGTAGAATATAATAAAATATAAAAACACAGGAAATATTTACAATATATATGATAGTGAAGAGTGTGGGTCGTTCAATAGAGAAATAATTACGTACGGTTATCAGACCGTCCAGAGACGAATCAGAATGCGCCACATCACCCCGGTACATAACATAACACCGTACACAACAAATGGTGTCGTGGCGTGTCCTGATTCATCTCTGGATGATGTCCGATGACCGCACGTAATAATTTCACTGTTCAATGAGTATGACTTTGGAAAGCTCAAAGTTTGCTCAATAGACATAGAGCACAAGTTACACAACAAATTAAATAAACCAAATTTCTAATTATGGATGCATTAACACCTCCTTCCATACTAATGGCTTACATCCACATAGTAAGTATAAAAGAAAACAAATAAAACCAAATTTCTAATATATTATGGATGCATTAACACCTTCCATACGAATGACTTACATCCACATAGTAAGTATAAAAGAAGAGAAGAGAAGAAGAGAGAGAGAGAGAGATAGATAGAGAGAGAAAGAGAGAGAGAGAGAGAGAGAGAGAGAGAGAGAGAGAGAGAGAGAGATTCATCACGTTATGAGGGAAGCACGTCTTGCACTTAATGTAAGATGCATGTTTACACAATTGCTTAGATAATCATTATTTCCTTCTAAAGTATATATCTATTACTCATCATATCATATATTATTAAATCATTTGGAACATGTTTTCAAGTGCATATTGATTTACCTTAACACATAGTATTAGTTATATTATTAGGTCCAATGAACTTAGTTCTTCTTTATATATTATTTTTCTCAGATATTGAGACTTCATTTGATACGGTTTTTTTTCTTCTTCTTAATGCAACTTTTTAGTATAAAAATTAAAAAATTTTAATTTAAAAGTTGTTTAGTTAAGCAGTAAAAAAGTCATCCCAAACAAAACCTGAGCCTTTCCTTGTTTATTTCTTGGAAAGTCAGGAAAGCTATTTCTATGATGGGTAAGTTAACTATTTGTGTTTGGCAAACAATGAATGTATTGATTAAGTTTTAGATATCTTAGTTATCTTAGTTGTTATGTTTAATTATTTGAATTATTATTTTGGTGGAATCTGAGTATTAAGAAAAGGTTATTGGGATGATAAATCAATTAGGTGCATATGAATGTGCCAACCTTTACTTACAAAGTATCCTAGACATAGATTAATATATAATTTATTAAGGGGGCATTGTTGCTCCTAAAGCAAATTTGAGGGCATAGAGTTGAGCTATATATCTTAATATTATAGGAAAATGTGTGCCCTAAATATGATAGAAAAATGAAGAGCGGTATTAAATATCATTGGCGAGTATTACGAGTAATGGTGAAATCAGAAAGAGATCACTAAAGGTCTATTTGGGATGGGTATAATAATTTGTAAAGATGATTGCAAAATTATTTTGTAGAAAATTTTTTTTTCTTAGGACTATTATAGATATTCTAAATATGTTCTTTTATTTTTCTAAATCAAGCATTTGTTTTCTTAAAGTTACCATATATTAATAATTCTTGTTGTTAAAAGCAACGCCATACCAGTAGTAAGAAATATTTTTCAATAGGCTTCGTTTTGGGACGACTTTCTGCTTCTTAAAGCAGCTTTTTAGTACAAAAAATTTTAATTTTGTATACCATGAAGCTGCTTTAAGAAGCAGAGGGAAAGCCGTCCCAAAGGAAGCCTAAGTACAGTAATTGGCTTAAGAATCAAGTATAAAGTTTTTTTGGGACATTTAGGCCATTTAAGGCAAACTCAGACACACAACGCATACACAAAGACTCGAACCCAAGACCTCTTAGTTGGAAGCATAAGCTCTCAACCAATAAGCCAAGATGAGCTGTGTAAGTATAAAGTTCTTAATGCATATAAACATATTATTCTTTTGTATATTGAAAATATGATACCACGTGCGTATGAATCCCTGACCAATTCTTGCGCCGCTTTGTCCGACGAACAGCCATTGCTTAGTTGCTTGAATCAAACAAAGTACGCACCTTCTTTGTTATTCTATTACTTCTTATTTATACTGAAATGTATTGTAAGGAAGCTCGTTGACAATGCATTCAGTAAACGCCCACATTCTTTGAATAATTTAAACTAAGGAAATTTTGTGGATTAGTGGTGGTCCTCAACATTTGATGTCCCCTGCACGACTTTTACAGCTTTTTTATGTCGGCTTGATGCTTAAGAACTTTTCATTCACACGTATCTCATTTTGATCTGAGAGCTGAGAGTTTTAACTATCAGCTAAAAGGTTATGAGTTCGAGTCCTATAAATACGATGTGTACGTGAGTTTATCTTAATTGGCCTAAATATTCATATATATGATGAAACTATTTTAAAGCCTGTAATTAAGTATTTTATTTATCATATATTTTGCATTTGAATCCATATCTTAATCTAACAAATGAGATATTTAAACATAATTATTAATTATCATTATTTAACAAAAAAAAGTATAATAATAATAATAATAATTAAAAAGGGGATTTACAATTCTCATGTATTTGAGTATATAACACTTAAAGTTTGATTATTATT